AGGCAGCAGAGCCGAACGCGCCCGCGGGGGGTCTAGCCCTAAAACTGCTGCATGCAGCACTGAGGAGGGGTCGGAGGCGGCGGCGGAGACATAGGCCTGTGCAGCGCAGCAGCAAGCACCTGCAGCAGCTTTGATAAGCAGCAGCAGCAGCAGCAGCAGCAGCAGCTAAGCAGCAGCTGTTGTCATGGGCCCCTCAGCACCTCCAGGGCCCCCAGAGACTTCTCGGGGCTGCACAAAGAGCCGCAAGATCTACTACTCTTGGGCCCCGTAGGGGCCCCCTTAGAAGCCCCCAAAGACGCCTTTAGGGGTCCCCTAGGGGGCCCCTAAGGAGGCCCTATGGGGCCCCTAAGGGGCCCCTGCAGGGTCCTAAGAAAGGTCCTTAGGGGCCCCTTCGGGGTCCCCTTGTGGGCCTCTTGAGGGGCCCTCTTTAGTGGTTTTTGAGGGGACCTTTTGAAGGGTTCACACGGGGCCAAATAAGGGGCCCTTTGGGGGCCCCCCAGGGGGCCCCCAAAGGGCCCCTTAAGACTTTCCTTGAAGAGGTTCTTAATTCGTTTTCTAACGGGGTTCTTAATGGGTTTTTTAAGGGTTCTTGAGGGGCCTTAAGAGGCCTTCTAAAGGCCTGTAGGAGGGCTTTGGGGGCCCCCCTTAGTGCGCATGCGCGGGATTGTGGGGAGCGGGATCGTGGGGATCGGGAACGTGGGGATCGGGATCGTACCTGGGAACTTGACTTGAGAAGATCAAGAAGAATAAGAGATGGATGTTCTCCCTGCAACTTCCTTCTTAGAATTGCCATTATTTGCCGACCCCGTTGCGCTGTGGGGCCCCTGCTGTCTCCCCGCCCGTCTGCTCCCCGGACAGCAGCTTTGGGGGCCCCCAAGGGGCCCCCAGTGGGCCCTGGGGGCCCCCCAGGGGGCCCCCTGGGGGGCCCCCCTGGAAGGCCCCCCGGCGCCCCCCTTGAAGAGCCCCCTGGGGGGCCCCCTGGAGGAACCCTTAGGGTGACCCCTGAGGGGCCCCCTGGGGGACCCCCTTGGGGGGCCCTTTTGAGGGTTGGCTGCAGTTGCAGAGTGGCTGTCAAGAGGGACTCGGGGGGCCCCCCAAAGGGCACAGTGCCAGCCTCTGGAGGACAGGCGATCCCAGGGGAGTGCGAGACGATCCCACGGTCCTGGGAGACGATCCCGGGATCGCCCCACACTGCAGCCTTTCGCCCTGCAGCCTGACACCAGCAGCAAACTCACAAGAAGCAGCAGCAGCCCTCCAAAGCTGCCACAGACACGGGGGCCCCCCAGGGGCCCCCCAAGACCCTGGGGGGCCCCCAACACTTGGGGCCCCCCTAAACCGTTGGGGGGCCCCCGGGGTCCCTTGGGGGCCCCTAAACCCTTGGGGGAGTAGGAGACCCCGATGTAAACCCTGAGCTTTATACTGGAGAAACGCGTCCAGTCTAGGGTTTAGGGTTTAGGGTTTAGGAAGTCGGATCTAGGGTTTAGGGTTTAGGACTTTCGGGCCTAATGTTTCGGTGTATGTTTGAAACCTGCGGGCTCGCGGTCCATCATATAAGATCTAAAGCTTAGGGTTTGCAGCTCAGGGATTAGGGTTTAGGGTTTAGGGTTTAGGGTTTAGGGTTTGGCTGACGCTGCTGCAGCAGCCCAGAGGGTCTCTAACGAAAATCTCCACCACCGCCTCGACCACAATGCGGTGTCTGCGCAGACACCCCAAAGCCTCCGCGAGCCATTTTTCAAAACCGCCCAAAGCCCCAGCAGTCCACGCATGCACTGGGGCAGCAGCCCCGCTGCTGCTGTTGCTGCTGCTGCTGCTGCTGCTGCTGCTGTTGTTGTTGTTGCTGTTGTTGTTGCTGTTGCTGTTGTTGTTATTGCTGCCGCCGCTGGTGTTGTTGTTGTTGCTGCTGCTGCTGCTGCTGCTGGTGAAGAAGGGAGACAGCAGCAAGGGGTAGTGGCTGGCGCCCGGGGGCCCCACAACTCGCAGCATTGAAGGAGACAGCCGGAAAGGAGACAGTTCAGGGACTGGCAGTTCGGAGACAGCAAAGTCGAACGAGTAGCCAAAGTCTATGTCCACACACTGTTCAGCAGCAGCAGCAGCAGCAGCAGCAGCAGCAGCAGCAGGGACGCCAGCGAAGCATGAGAGGGGAAGCAGCAAAGAGCTGGGGAAGCAGCTGTCTTCCTTTTTAATTCGCATTTACTCCCAAATTAATTCTCATTAATTTGCCACTTAATTCCCCCTTAAATCCCATTTAAATACCCAATTAATCCCCACTAAACCTCTGAGTAAATATCATTTAAATCCCATTTAAATGCCATTTAAACGCCATTTAAATCCCATTTAAATCCCATTTTCATTTCATTTAAATGCCATTTTAAATGCCATTTAAATCCATTTTTAATTCTATTTAGATCCCACTAAATCCCCGTCAAACCTCCTATTAAATCCCATTTAAATCCAATTTAATTCCCCATTTAATCCCCCATTAATCCCCATTTAATTCCCGCTTAAATCCCATTTAATCCCATTTAATCCTATTCAAATTCCCATTAATTCCCCATTTAATCTTCATTAATTCCACCTTGAATCCCATTTAAACCCCACTTAAATCTCTCTTAAATCTCACTTAAATCCCATTTAAATCCCATTTAAATGCTATTTAAATCCCATTTAAATCCCATTTAAATCGGATTTAAATGCTATTTAAATCCCAATAAAATCCCATTTAAATCCCATTTAAATCCCATTTACTTCCTCAGTTAAATTCCCATTAAGCCCTTTAATTCCCCTTTAATACCCCCCTAGTTCCCCTTTGAATTCTCTTTATTTTCCATTTAAATGCCACTTAAATGCAATTCAAATGCCACTCAAATTCCCATTAAATGCCATTTAAATGCCACTTAAATGCCATTTAAATCCCTTTAAATCCCTTTAAATCCCCATTTAAATTCCCACTTAAATCCCCATTAATCCTCCATTTAGTCCCCATTCAAACCCCCTTTAAATCCCCTTTAAATCCCGCTTAAATCCCATTTGAACACCATTAATATGCCATTAATATGTCATTAATATGCAATTAACATGCCATTAATATGCCATTAATATGCCATTAATGTGCCATTAATATGCCATTAAAATGCCATTAATATGCCATTAATATGCCATTAAATGCCATTAAATGCCATTAAATGCCATTAGTTCCTTTATTTCTCAACTGCGCACCTCCCCATTAGTAAAGTCCAACAAACAATTCCCCAAATGCCGGTCGCCAACTCCCAGCAAATACCCAGCAGCAGCGCAGCAGCAAAATGACTTTCCAAACTTCTGACAATTTCGCCACAAACTTTCGCTGTCCCCACTCACACTCGTCAAAACCAGCAGCAAACAGTCTAACAGGGGGGCCCCCATGGGGGCCCCCAGCGGGGGGGCCCCCAGGGGAGGGGCCCCCAGGGGGGGGGCCCCTGAGGGGGGGGCCCCTAGGGGGGCCCCCAGCGGAGGGGGCCCCATGGGGGGGCCCCCCGTGGGGGGAAGGCCCAAGGGGGGCCTGCAAGGTGCAGCTCCAGCGACGCTAGTGGTAGTGGTGGTGGTGGTGTTGCTGCTGCTGCTGCTGCTGCTGCTGTTGGTGGGGGCTGCTGCTGCGGATGGGGGCAAGGCTGCTAGCCAGACGCACTCGGTGTAGACTTTCTCGACTGCTGCTGCTGGCAGCTGCAGGATCTGTTCCCAGACCTCTGCAACACCGACTTGCTGCTGCTGCGGGCCTCGTGCTGCTGCTGCTGCTGCTGCTGCTGCCATGTCAGCCAGGAAGGCCCCATAGCGCTGGCTAGCCAGGGAGGCCCCCAGGGGGGCCCCCGAAAGGGCCCCACAAACAGCAGCAAAAGGACTTGCGGTGTCTATCCACTCCACGAGGCCCTGGCTCTCCGAAAGCGGCAGCACTCCGTAAGAACGCAAACTAAAAGCGATCCCAGAAGCGATCCCAGAGGCGATCCCAGAGGCGATCCCAGGGGAGTTCGATCCCCGATCCCACGGCCCCTGCAGCCGGAGAAGCAGCACCGCAACAGAACAGCAAAGCAGCAGTGCAGCAAAGCAGCAAGGCAGCAAAGCAGCAAGGCAGCAGAGCAGCAAAGCAGCAGAGCAGCACAGCAGCAAAGCAGCAGAGCAGCAGAGCAGCAAAGCAGCAAAGCAGCAGAGCAGCAAAGCAGCAGAGCAGCAAAGCAGCAGAGCAGCAAAGCAGTAGAGCAGCAAAGCAGCAGAGCAGCAGAGCAGCAAAGCAACGGAGCAGCAGAGCAGCAAAGCAACAGGGCAGCAGAGCAGCAAAGCAGCAGCCTCAGGACAAAGAGCTGTCTTGTCCTTTGGCTTATTTCTTTGGGGGAAATATTTGCAGTTTGGATTAAGCAAAGGATTCGTTAAGTGCCTCCAGGGTTTAGGGTTTAGGGTTTAGATTTTAGAGTTTGTGGGGTCTGACGAGGTGGTTCAAGATGCGGCGGAGGGTTTGCATGCTCTGGTCCGACCGAAGGTCATCTGCCTTCAGCAGCAAAGAGCCCCAGCAGCCGCTGCTGCTGCAGAGACGCAGGCGAAGCGGGGCTTCCTTCGAGGGGATAACAGTAACCTGGCGGCAGCAACAGCAGCAGCAGCAGCAGGGGCAGCAGCAGCAGCAGCAGCGGCAGCAGCATCAGCAGTAGCAGCATCAGCAGAGCAGCAGTAGAGCAGCAGCGGCAGCAGCAGCAGCAGAGCAGCAGAGCAGCAGCAGAGCAGCAGCCGCAGCAGCAGCAGCAGGAGAGCAGCAGCAGCAGCCGCAGCAGCGAAAAAGCAGTGCCTTTTCATGCCGATTTGCAAAAAGACAAAGGAAAGGGCACAGAAAAGCGCCGCTTCTATGGTGCATAAAGGCATACAAAAACACGAACTGCTTGTGCTGCTGCTGCTGCTGCTTCTGCTGCTGCTGCTGTTGCTGTTGCTGCTGCTGCTGCTACTCACGTTTTCCCCAAAGGACACCACATAGGGGGGCCCCTCTGTGGGGCTGAAGGGCGCAGAGGGCCCGCAGGGCAGTGGCAACAGCAGGGGCCCCTCAGCTGCAGCAGCAGCAGCAACTTCAAAAGAAGGCAAATTACTAAATGGGGCCAAAAACGAAATATTCTGCTGCTGCCAAGAGAAGCTGAGACAGAAACAGATGCACAAAAAGACCTGCAGCTCACTCCGATCAGTCCCCGCAGAAGTAGCAGCAGGGGCAGCAGCAGTAGCAGCAGCAGCGGGAGCAGCAGCAGCAGAAACGGCCGTAGCAGCAGTTGCAGTAGGAGCAGCTGCTGCTGCTGATAGAAAGGAGGCAGCAAGGTCAGGGGGCGTGGCAGCTGCAGAACAAATGTGCTGTCTGCCGCTGTTGTTGCTGCTGTTGTTGCTGCTGCTGCTGCTGCTGTTGCTGCTGCTGCTGCTGTGAGCTGCAGCAGCACGCACTTAGCGAGCCAAGGAGAGACTTCAGAGAGCCGCAAATTTCCCTGTCGCTTTCCTTTTCTGAAGTCTGCTGCTGCTGCGGAGAGCTTTCGAAGAATGCCCAGAGAGTCTCTTACTGGCAGCAGCAGCAGCGCCTCTGCTGCTGTTCTCATTACTGCTCCTGCTGGTCCTGCTGCTGCCCCTGCTGCTGCTGCTGCTGCTGCTGGCCCTTGTGCTGCTCTTGCCGCCGGTGCTGCCTCTTCTGCGCCTGTGCCCGCTGCTGCTGCTGCTGCTTCTGCTCCTGCTGCTGCTGCTGCTGCTGCTGCTGCGGCATCGCGCCACGAATGGGTGGAGAGGGCCTCCTGCAACAGCTGCAGATACACACAGAAACAGCCCAGAGAAGATTTAATGAGAGAAGAAAAAGAAAACAATTCGAAAAATAAATAAATAAATAAATAAATAGATTATAAATAAATAAATAAATATATAAATAAATAAATAAATAAGGGGAATACTGCGAGGCCGAGCTGCCGCAGCACCTGCAGCCCTCAGGCTGCTGCTGCTGAAGATAAGCGGCAGCAAAACGCAGAAGCAGCCAAGGCTTCCCTGCTGCAGCAGCAGCAGCAGCAGCAGCAGCTTTAACTGCTGCTGGCGAGGCAGCAGAAGGCTTCATGCAGCCTCCAAAAACTTCAAACATAAAAAGGAATTCCAAATGAATGCAAGCCGGAAAAGCAGAACATTTTGCTGCCAGCAGCTGCACACTTTGCTGCCTGCTGGTGCACATTTTTCTGCCAGCTGCTGCATGTTTTGCTGCTGCAGGGACGAAGGGGGAAGCAGCAGCATCTGTGGGGCCCCACACCTTCATCATTTGGGCCCCCAGCTCCTGCAGCGCGGGATCGATCTGCTCCCCTAAGAAAAAGTCTCGGCCGCTAAAAATTGCTGCTGCTGCTGCTGCTGTCCACACATCCCTCCAGCGTGCTGCAGCAGCAGGAGACAGCACCTGCGCCTGCACATTCACGCCACAACAGGCAAAACACCTGCTGCTGCTGCAGCAACATAAAATGCAGCAGCTGCAGCAGCTGCAGCGGTAGCTGCTGCAGCAAGGTCAGCAGTAGTTGCTGCAGTAACGGCAGCAGCAGTTGCTGCAGTAACAGCAGCAATCGCTGCAGAAGTAATGGCAGCACTAGCTGCAGCAGTAGCAGCTCTAGCAGGTACAGCAAAAGTAGCTGCTGCTGCAGCTGCAGCTGCAGCAGCTACTGCTGCTGCAGCAGTAGCACTGCTGCACAATGTCTCCCTCTGGGCTCACCAGCTGCAAGTCTGTTTTTTCGCTGCTGTCCCCCACATGGTCTGTCAGCAGCTGCAGCAGCGGCTGCAGCAGCTGCCGCTGCAGCTGCTGCTCCGGAGACTGCAGCAGCCGGCAAGCAGCAGCAAAAGGACCTGCAAGGGGCGCCAGGCGCAGCGCCTGTCTCCTCAGCATTTTCAGCAGCTCTAAAGGAGCTGCAGTGCCTCTTTTGGCCCCCCAAGTGACAGCAGCAGCAGCAGCAGCAGCAGGCTGCTGCTCCGTGTCTGCTGAGGCCTTGCTGAGGTCCGCAGAGATGGCAGTCTGCAGCAGAAAGAGACAGCAGTGGGGCCCACACCCGCTCTTCCATGAGACAGCAGCAGCAGCACAAGCAGCAGCAGCCGCAGCAGCAGCAGCAGCAGGCTGTAGGGCCGTTGGCGGACCTCTAAGGCGTAGAAGGTCTCGTGGGGAGCTGCTGCAACCATCTGCTGCAGCTGTAGCAGCAGCGCCCGAGTGAAGTAGCCAGAAGTGTCGGCAGCAACAAAACTTAAAAGCTGCGGCGCATACATCCGCAGCACTC